CAAAATTTTTATGATAGTAATTATAGGCAATACAAAAAACTTTTTATTTTATTAGGCTCTCTATATACTTATTTAATATATATAATGAGCAAGTATAGAAATCTAGGCTATTTGGATATGGCATTTATGAATTTCCCTATATATTATCATACTAGTCCTGTATAGCATTGCATAATATGCAGCTATCATTAATAATATATCAAAAACAATAATTTGATATTGATTTATTCTCACTGTACTTCAGAAATTAAAATAAAAAAAGAGTATTGTTATACTAAAAAGTACATTATAATGAACTCAGAAAATATAATTTAATTTATATGGGTTTGTTGATTCAAGAGTTATTGTAGCTTGAATTTTACTATTATATACACTATACAAGTTATAGCATTGTGTCTATATATATAAAAATTATTTTAGCACTGATTTTAATATAAGATACTAAAGTATTCTATAAAATTAATAATCAAATATATTAGGCAAAGAACTTAATTTCATTAAATTTCACATATTCCCGTTCCTGGTTTTGCGCAACTGTGTTGCGCAGCTACTTATGGTTTACAGGCGAGTGAAATGATGTGTGCGATTCTCAGCATCTGATTGGATAAAAATCTCTTGTGACTTTTATAGCACCCGAGCAGTACTAAAAAGTTTAATAGAAAAAATTGCAACAATATAACCTTTATTAGTATTGTTTCTTGGTATCGGTATCTGATCGGCATTCCATACGTATTTATGGGATGCATTGTATAATCAGTCATTTGCTATGGCCGATCAGATGATCGAGATTGCAATAAATACATGAATGTGTAACATAAAATGTGGAGGGATGCGAGAAAATTGATGTCCATTATGCTGATTTTTGAAAAATCCTTTTTTAGTAGAAGTAATGTTTTTCATTTATTCATTTTTGGCAGAAGTTAAGATTTTTATATACTATGTATGATACGTATAACTCTATATGTAGACTACATGCAAATAATGTTACATATTGGTGATCACAGACAATGCAAAAAACTTTTTGCTTTATTAGGCTCTCTGTATTCTCATTTAATATGCATAATGAGCGAGTATAGAGATCTAGGCTATTTGGACATAGCACTTATAAATTCACCCCATACATGATTGTATTGGTCCTGTGCAGCATTGTATAATGCGCAGCTATCTTATAAATAATATATCAAATCAATAATTTGATATTGCTTTATTCCCGCTATACTTCAGAAATTAAAATAAAAATATATATAAAGAGTATATTATTACAAATATAATTTGATTTATGTGGGTTTGTTGATACAAGAGTTATTGCAGTTTGAACTTTACTACTAAATTATCATGTACACTATATAAGTTATAGCATTGTGTCTATACATGTAAAAATTATTTTAGCGTTGATTTTTAGTATGAGATACTTAAGTATTTATAAAATTAATGATCAAATATGTTGGGCAAAGAACTTTATTTTAATGATTGCTTTAAATTTCATATATCCCGTTCCTGGTTTTGCGCAACTGTGTTGCGCAGCGACTTATTGGATAATTCAATTATTAATTGTTAAAAATGATTTATTAATTTAACAATTCCCTATTACCAATTAATAATTAGAAATTCCCATCGCTAGATGTGATTAGAAAGTTTATATTTTTTATTTTATGATTCATTAAATAGATACGATTTTACAGACATATTGAATGTATTTATTTAACATTTCATTTTGTGAAGAATTATCAATTTGTAAAGATTATATTTCATTTTGTAAAGATTCACGTATTTCACTTTGTAAAGATTTACGTATTTCATCAAATGAAGATTAGTTATTCATGATAGCAAAAAATTGACATACAAATAAATTTCTTGTTTCTGTTCTTTTGCTTTTGTTATTCTATATTTTTTAATATAATTGTGCTGTGTTGTTAAACTAAGCTAACGAGCAGGGCGCCACTCAAAAAGTATCATTTTTGATTCCCCATATAATAAAGTCCGATTGGCTAAAAAAAATTAATATAGTCAATTATTGTAACAATTAAATAAATACACTTCTAAATCGAATGTATCAGAAAAGACAATTTAAATAATGAGCATTGGCGCAGTAAATGGCCGGTAAATAAGTAGGTATTTTTTGCCCGCTAGCGAGCTGCCAGCTTTGGATTTTGAACAAAATTGCATTTCCAAATTTAAACAATAAAGCAGCCTGGAACTTTGAACGAAAACCACACGAATAAATTAGAAACAATAAATCAGCCTGGGACTTTAAACAAAAGCCGTACATCCTTATAAGAAACAATGAACCATTCTGGGACTTCAAACAAAAACTTGCATATCAAATAAATAAACAATAAAACTGTTTGGAATTTGTCTTTTGGAATTATCTATTAGAACTTTATTTTGAACTGTATTTTCGAACTAGAAACTGGACTGCCGATCAAGTTTTTAAATAAGCGATTTCCCAACCCTAATATAAATGAATGTTTAGGTTAAGCTACACTTTCATTACATTCATATTTGATGTAGTTTAAAGTAAATTGTGTAAGCTCTTTAAAGACTTACACGGCTTATTTTAAACAATACAATTATCGTTGATCATAAGTTGATTTATCATATTAAAGAATCCGTTAAAGCATTCAAAGAATTGAGTTATATTTATTTCTCCCATATATAAATAAAATGTAAAAAAACGCTCTTAAAAAGAAATACATCAAGCCTTATTCGTAAAAAGCAAATAAAAAGAAATAAAACCATTTCGTTATCAAAAAATATTTATAACACAAATCAGAATTTCTTTATGGTAGTCTTGCAATCACCTATCCATTGTGAAATATTGATAATGATATCATTCGTCTTCTGAAATTCACTTTCCAACCACTTAATATCTGCTTCTTTATGCTTTATCATATTTTCAGTCGTAGATAGCGATCTCAGAGCACCTTTAACATTCTCATAATGATCAGACCTAAACAAGATAATTAGTACCAAATTTTTAAAGGTAAAAAAAAACTCGTTGTTATAATGTTAATGCAGTGCTAAACTGATGCTAACAAACCTTAGGTCATCTTCTAAATTTATACAGGTATCCATAATATCGTAATCAGAAGTGCTACTAATTTTTCTTTTTAACTTATTTCTGATTAAATCCAATTCGCCTTCCATTTTATCAAGCTTCACGATAATATCATATGTAATACCTCTTAAGAGAATAATATACTTGCGTACCACCTCTTTTCCCTTTAGTTTCAAAGCATCTTTCCAGTGAGAGTCATTTTGGCAAAAATCTTTCATATCATCGTAAATTTTATCTAGGGTTTTATCTCGAACATATTTGCTTCGTCGATTAAGAATCGAGCGAAACCATATTTGTATTTTTTCGGCATTTTCGTTGGCACTGGGAGTTTCACCAATCTGTTGGAACCAATCTTGAATTTCCACGGCAGATCCCAGGTTATCTTGAGAAATTTCATTCTGCTCATTATTCTCATCTTTTTTTTGATTAAAAAAGGCGTCTACGGAGGCTTTTCCTTTGATAGCTAGCGGAGATACGATTTTCCAAAGGGAGGATTTAAATTCTTCACTAGAAATATATTTGAGTATCTTAGCGCCACCCTTCTCCAGTTCAAAAAATCTAGATATGCCTTCCCTGCGGTAGAAAACTATGACTAAGGAATCGCAGCCTGTTTCACTAAGATCCTTAATTAGAATTTTTACAAGCCGTCCCATATGTTGCTCTTCCAGATATTTTTTGATCTTCTCAGAGAAAGTGAAAACCTGTAAACTCATGCGTTTAAATTTATCTAATACCTTTGATGCGAAAGTGGATTCGTTCCAACCAATAAGGATTAATAGTCGTATCAACCGAAGGATAATTGGCGATCGATAAATTTTAATAAGTTTAAACTGGTCGAGAAGCTGACAAGATAGGCTAAAAGAATCTAAAATTGCATTTTGATAATCTACCATATTATATTTATTGTGATTATCTTGGTTTGAAAGGAGTGGTTTCACATTAAATGCATAAAAATAATTAACCAAATAACTTTGAGGAAGACAAAAATCGCAAGTTCCAGGACGATTCGCGAAAACTAATGATGTCATAAACTCAATAAGAGATGTAAGATCGCCAAGTGCTTCGGTTTTTTTCATTATGCTGACTTGATGAATATCTTTTATGGCATAGTGAATAAATACCTTCGCATTACGGATCGCTGATATCACATTACCAGAATTAAGATCAAAAAAAAATGAAGAAAGACGCTTTCCAACCGAAATATAACGATGACATGTTTGATCGTATTCAAAACCAATCGTTGAATTATAAGAATAAAGATTTTTCATCTCCCAATAGAACCTATTGATACTCCATTTATGCTGCAACTGCTGAAGAACGAACATGTATTTTAACATGACCCCAAAGTTTCTACCATTATCGAATTTATTTCGTAGCCATACTTTATTTGCGAGGTCAATGAAACCTTTGCGTATATTGTTAAGATGATTGCGGATCACTATATGTGAAATCTCAGGACAACTTGTTTGTGGAGATTGATAGCGAAAAAGATGATCAACTAATTTTTCAGCCCAATATTTCTGTCGATGAAGGACACTAAAACTTTGGTCTTCCTTAAGTATGCGACGATGATATAATACAAGCATATTTCGCATTACTGCATATTGAAGACATATAAGCAATAGATGTTTGTACAAAATCGTTGGTGTTGGTTTTATGTGGTTATCTTGGCATTTATGATGCCTATTTAAAGATGCAATGCATTTACCCGAGGATGCAAATTCATAACAAATTTTAGAATCTATTTCTGGAATCGTTCGTCCAGTATGATCTGCGTTCTCAAGAAGCTCAAAAATATAAGAGGCAAGAAATTGTGAAATTATTAGATGCAAATTGTTCACATTATAAACATATTGCACGTCCATTACTTCTACCGCATTTCCTTCGTCATTTTTGCAATTTAATTCATTAATGAAATCAAGGAGAGTACTATCAGAAGGAATTTTCCGCTTTAAAGGTTGGTCCTCTACCTTACATATAAAAAAAATAGCTTCAAAATCTTTGCGAATTTTCTCATTATTGATAACGTCTTTACGTGGTGGTGCTATAAAAGGAAAGGCCAGCTCACATAGTCTTAAAAGGTATTGTAATCGTTCGTGCCAGTACTCTATCTGAATTTTTGTTTTTGGCATCTGAAGCCATATGTTTACCGCACGAAACTCGAGAACAGGTGTTTCATTCTCTTGAGAAAATTTTACACACTTATAGACTCTATTGAAATCATTATCTAAATATGCTGAATATAGTTGGATCTCTTCAATAAGGATCTTAAATTCCTTTTCTTTTTTTAATGTCTTTGATGTTTTCAATTTTACTATTTCAGTTGCCTTGCGAAGGAGACCTCGTAGCTTCTGTGGAGTGTCAAAATTCATACTTTTCATATTATCAAGTATTTTTACTCGATATGGGTGTAAAAGGCAATTTAACGACTCAGTAATATCATCGTCATTAGTGGAGCGACTGAACATAGATGCAGCTTCCTCGAACTTTCCGCACGAACGTAAGAATTTACCAGCATCACGAAATTGTTTACTTTTCTCGTAGACTTCAAGGAGCTTATTTGGAGCATGATCAGCTAGAAGTTCTATTCGTTCTTCTTGCGTCGGAATAATTTGAAGAGCTTTTTTACTCATCTCCTTATTGTCTTCTCGGCAATAATGAATGTTTACAAGCCGACTAATTCGGCGAAACGTTTTGTCATCAATTTGTTGCCTGTATCTTATGTTTTAGATAATTTAAAAGTCAGTCATTTTTATTTTCATTTAATTAATGAATTGTACTTGTATAAAATGAAAAGGTATTATATAAGAATTTGCTAAAGTTTGTGATATTAGGAAGCATATTTACCTTTGCATCAAGTCAACTACAGTATCATAATATCCACCGTTTTTATAGGCAGTAACGGCTTCCGCGTACTTCTTGACTTTTTCATAATTCGAACCTGCCTTCTTCCAGCTTTTGCCTTTAAAATAACAATCTGCAGCTGACTCGAATATTTCCCAATCAGCATAAACATCACCTGCTTCTTCATGCATTCCAATGTCCTAGAATTTTTTTCAAATTAATAATCTCGAAAATTATAAATTTACCAATTGTTAAGAAACACTCTTTACCTGATAGCATGAAGCTGCTTGAACTGGTCGAGAACATTTTTTGAAACTCTCAGCAGCTTTAATAAAGTTTGACTTTACAGTTGTTTCATCGGAATCATGTATAGAGGCTCGGGCAACCTGTCGAAGGAGATATGCATTCGCTAAATTGAGCCCCTCCATATTTTTACTTTTTTCAAAACAAAAAATTGCCTAAAGAAAATATCGCAATTTTTAATAATCGGTCTATACAGTGGTATAAAATATTAAAAGAAGTAATTTAACTTGTTCGTATTGCCGCTGTCCAAAATATTGCCTTCCCTTTCTGTTCCATTCTTTTACGTCACTTTCTTTAGCCAAATTAGGGAATGGAGTTCCATCTCCATCACACTTTCCTTTGACCAATCCGTGGTGATCCCAGTATTTCCATATTGGTTCGCTTAGTCTAGAGTCTTCGTCAAAAATCCAAATATGTTCCCGAGCTCTGGTCACTGCAACATAGAGGTGCTTTAGCTCTGAAGAAAGTATATAATGCTTTTCGTATGATAAAGTTTGCACGCCTCCAGAATATCCTTCTATAGCGGAAAGAATTAGCCGCCACTGAAATGATTAAAGAATCTTAAGTAATAAACGATGGTGGCTCAAAATAAAGGTCTTAGTATCATACATACCTTGTTACCCGCTGGTGAGTTAGTAAAAAAATTATACAAAAGAACATCGTTAAATTCCATGCCTTTGGCCTCAAAGATTGTCAAAATTTGACAAGCTTTTCCAATAGATTTCTTAACGTGTTTTTTAGCATCTTCGTCACGTACGATAATCACTTGCTCTGCGCCGAATTCAATGGGATCACCTGATTGTCCGCCAGCAGAGAAAAAATTAAAAATAAATGTTTTATCTTGATATCCTTTAAATATGAGAGGTCGTGGTCCACCAACTTCGCCACGTTCTTTTGGCAACTTGTCGATAGACTCGGGAAAAAAGCACTGAATAAGGTCAATAACGGATGAAGCAAGCCGAAGAATTCCATTATGAGAACGATAATTGGTATTTAGCTCGAATCGTTGTGGTTTGAAAGTACCATGCCAATTTGGATTGGTTTGAGACCGAATGAGTTCCCATTGATACATCAAGGAAAGTACACCTATATTATTGTTATTAAAGCTTAGAAAATGAAAAATAAAATATAGCATGATTCTTGAATGAATGAATATACGTACTTTGAAAACGGAAAGATGATCCTCGAGCAATGCACTGCGCAGTATCTCCGGCCAAAAAAATACAATCAACTTGGTCAAAGAGTTTCATGATAAGCGAGAAATCAACAATTTGGTTGTCTTGACATTCATCGATATATATTTCGTGGATGTGTGGGCCACCAAGTGGTTTCTTTTTAGCGCAACGCAAGACAGCTCGTGTTCTATGAGAAGATATTTAAAATTTTCAAAAAAAAATTCGAAAAATTTAAACACTATAAGATCTTACCGATCTATTGAATCATAATCGTAATTAAGCTTTTTCATCTTTTCATATCGTTCAAACAAGTCATAAATCACATTACGGTCGCAAAATATAGGATATTTTTTTGTATTAACGGATAAGTATTCTTCTCTTGATAAACATTCTACCTCAGGATTTGAACCCTTAAGAAAATATGTTAAAAAAATGTTAGATAATATTGTTTATATATTGATAAATATTTTAATTGCATACTTTAATGATAGAAAATTCAGTATAAACTAGAGCAGAGTCTAGTTTCCGTCTATAATGATCACTAAAATGGTTCCAATATTTTTTTTGAAAAAGATTAAAGGTTACACGATGAGCCCATGATTTTTTAGAGGTGTCAACAAAAGATGGCATAGGATTGTATTTCTCATCCTTATCAACATCATTTGTGTCAAATTCTTGTTTTGTCATCCATAGCTTATTAACATCAATTTCATATGTTCCCTCGAGCATTTGAGAGAACTTTTCGTAGGTGATGAACAATGGGAAATGGTCATCTGTTAACTGTCGAAATGAGTTCGGTATGTCGCCTAGTAGCTTCTCCTCTTCGTCTTCCTCAATCAATGAATCATCAGGATTGCTATCGATATTTTCTTCATCTTTCTTCTTTATATATTCGTAAAATTGAGTGAATGACATCTTTTTTTCCGCAAGCATTGCAGACTCTCTTAATCGGTTAAAGTATTGTTTAACACGGGTACACAGAGTAGGACTCACTGTGACAAATATCTGCCTTTTGTTAAAAACGCTTTCCTCTATGACATTGTTGTATAATGATGGAGCCTTGAAGAGTTTGTGACTAGATTTCATTAAATATGAAGCAATTTGTCGGAACACAATACAAGTGGTTTTTCCAGTCCCTATGTAACATATATAAAAATTAAAGAATAATGTTATATATTATTTTCAATTGCAATAAACTTAAAATGCTAAGTAAAAGATCAAAATATACGAAATATAGAAACTAGATTTCTAAGACAATTAACTAAAAACTATCTATTCAAGCACAATAAAGTAGCTTCTAACCCACTCTAAAGTTATTAGCGTGACATATAGTATAAATTGGAAACACTAACCAGATCTTCCAATAACGATTGCCGATGTAGGATATTTGATGATATTGTATTCGTCTTCAGATACTTGAAAAGTGAAACCAGTACCTCCAAGAACAACTGATTTAAACAAATTCTAAAACAAGAAACTATAACATTTTAACAATCTTTATACATATAATAACAAAAAAAAATAATATCCTTACTTTACCTTTGATAAAGGAATAAACTTGTTCGTAACAAGCATTTTGTGTACTTTTATTAACCTCTCATCATCAACTTGATGGTCATATAAACTATCGTTAGTGGACTTTGGCTTCTCATTCCCAAAAGTTAATGGCAAAATAATGCCTTTTTTATTTCTCTGTGTCATGCATTGTTGCCTATGCTCCATAGTATAAACTTGATGAGCTATTTCAAGGTTTTCTAACACTTCGCGGATCTGTTCTTGGCTTTCAGTGACAGTCCATATTTTCACAACCTGTGCAAGTGATTGCTTACGTGTAGAGAACCGACTGTCAACTTGCCAGAGAATTCTCAGCCCCTTTTGATCGGGGAGCACCATTTCATAGACTTCTACAGAATTAGAGTTGACAACTCTGTGTCGGAGCTCATACTGATCCCATTTTCCAGAAGATATATATCCAAATTTTTTCATAACTGCTTTAATCATTTGAGGGGATTCTAAACTCCGCATATCATTGATCGCATCTTCACTAAGCAAGACATCCCATGGTCCCAGCTTGTCGTCGTCGCTAAATTCAAATGGAAGTCGACGGTCCGACAGAATCGGTGCATAATTTAAATCTACAGATTCATTTTCACTTGCAAGCGAAGAATATCTATCAGGTGAGAAGTAAACAAGAGCTCGTATGTGGCAACTTTTACACGGAAAGAATTCAATTAAAACCTAAAAAAATTATAACTTAATTGGGTCTGTAATAAACAATTACTTGGCTATATTTAAATTGTATACAGTTCTTACCTTGAATAAATCTATTTTTCGTTGCTCAAGAGCTCTTATTGAGTTGGTTAATTCAGATGATTTTTGTGGAGCTTTCATTCCTAAGAAGGTAAAATTTTGTTCATCTTGAATTGTGAGAGGTAAGTTTTTAACCGATATCACGGACTTGATGGTGTCGTATCCTCTATTCAGATTTTGAGGTACAGATTCTTTTTTATCAAGTTTAATCATGTCATTTAGTTCTGGCAAATAAAAGTTCTTTTTAGCATCCAATAAGACTGCGCGTTCTGCATCCTGATAACTTCCAAGAGTTTTCAACAATTCCGTGCACGCTTTGTATTCGAAAAGTCTTTCAGGCAATTTTGATGTGTCGTTCCTGTGATCTGAACAGTTCTCCATGAGAGATGCAATCATATCTACTGCTCTAAGTATTTTATTATTTGCAATTTTCTCTATCATTTTAAAATGGAACAGAATTCGCTTTATACAATAGCAACCAGGTCTGCCTGAGATCCAAACGCCGAAAACACCATGTGCATCCAAAATTTCACTGAAAACGCGTTCAGTCGTCTGAATTGCTGTCTTATTGTTTGAAACCTCCCAAAGGATCTCAATGCAGAGACGAAAAAGTTCCTCGAATTCTGGAGTACCTGAATAGTGTAAATTGCTAATCATCACATTAGTGATCAGCATCGAAACAAAATTTGAATGCACACTATTACACGAAGACAGCTCATAAAGATAAGAAAGGTATGTTTTTAAAGCTGGTATATAAATGTCAGGATATTGATATAGGAGCTCTAAAAGTTCGTCGAAAAATTCTTTAAGTTCCTGCGACGATGCGTTAAGACAGCGTGCCAAAAGAACATCTCGTGTCTCTGTGACATTGCACTCCGAACCTGTCAAACTTTCAAGAAGTTCAATGAGAAGTTTGTTGTCGACTAGATTCATTAAGTGACAATTTTCTTTTCATAAAATGACTTTATACGCGATTGAAAATTAATATACTATAAGAATTAAGTTTTTCTTTGTTAAAGAAATTTGGCAAACATACCGTATTCTTAATTATTTTTCTGTGGGAAATAATTTTCGTATTTATTAAAATAAGTCACGCGATGACCCCATTTAGAGAATTCTGGATAAAGCCAGTCATACTATAAGATGTCAAACAATACTTTGTTTCAGTCAAATTTATTTTGTTGTTAATCAACTATTCCTATTAAAGTAATAATTACGTGATAAAACCTTCATAATAATTATCTAGTCATTCTGTATTTTTATTTTATTAAATTAAAAAATAGTATGATATATAATTTATAAATAATATTGTGCGTGCCAGCTAAAATTTTCTTATAATTAGATCACGTCTCCAAAAAATTACGTGAATTTATCATATTAAATTATCAAGCCATTTTAATCTATATAGTGAGATAATCTAATTGACTCTATGTGAAAGACTTTTACCATTTCTAATTCGTTATAAATATTATTTATACAGTTAAAGTACGTATACTATTGTTATTGTTTACAAAATATGGTCATGTTAGCAGCCGATAAAGTATATGTTATTGTTTACAAAAATGGAAAAAAATTAGCCAATCAAATCCTTATAGTTAATGTTTATCAATTTCAGAATTTTGTTAAACATACATATTGCAGTATTGGATATTCTTGTTTTAACGCTTCCTGTATTATTTCGTTGAAATATTTTAGTTAAGATTGAAAAAATAAAAATTATTAACTTCTATCAATTATTAAATGGAATTGTTAACACAGACTATAAATAGATATATTTAGATCCTTACAACAAAAAGTGGTATTGAAATATATATTTGTAATAATCTATAAACTATAAAAATTATTGTTCGTTTATATTATATGTCGGGGATGAAATCGAATGATCCTGAAATTTGAACTTATTTTAATATGAAATTTTAAAAAATTTTTGGGGCGTTTTTTTCTAGTTTTTTTTTTTTTTTTATGGTTGGATTAGAATTTAAGGTTAAGGTTTATAATTAAGGAGTATAGGTAGGTTTTAGTAAGATTTATATTTTTAAATGGAGACCCTAAATTTCAGTATCATCTGATTTCGACATCGTCCCGAACATTATATGCGTGAGTGTGAAAACCTTAAATTTACCATAATAAATCATTATATGCAGCTGCAGATTTTCACTCTCATGCACTCGTATAGTTATTGATGACTATATTTCTATATCATTATTTGTAATTACATCATCTAATTAAACTACGTGCATGCATATGTACTTATTCTCGATTAAAATTTCTTGTAGATTGTTAAAAAGACCAGAGAACAAAGAGGATAAATCAGTGATGACGTAAGCTATGCTAATATGAGAATTTTTAGTATAGTCATCAAAAATATGGCTATACATTAATATAAAATAATAGTTTATATAATAAAATATAAACTTTACAAATAAAAATTTATTATTAGGATTTTAATTTTTTACTTATTAGATTTAAAAGTTTATCAAATATTAAAATTTTAATTTCATTATTTATTAAAGTATTATTTTTTTTTAGAAATTTATTAATAAATTCTAACTTTGCTTAGACTATTTTCACAGTTTTTGAAATAGTAGGAAACATTGCAAAAAAATTTTTTTAGTTTACTGTATTCCATATACCGTATTTGCGTGTAATAACGCGTAGAGGTGTAGTTTCGAATTTCGGCCTAAATTAAGCTTAATTCGGGCGGTAGCTTAAAATAGCCCGGCCAGCTATTACGCGCAAATTCGTTATCTGTTATTGTGTATACGCGTATACAAGCTGCACCTGTAACAATTAGAGTGTAATTGCTTTGGTAAACAATAAGCATGCAAATATATAAGTATTGATCTTTTATCATTGTGCTAAGGTAATCCAATACGTATACTAATATATCACAAAACCTGATTTCTACTATTTCGAAAATCTACAATAATTTATATAGCTAAATTTTTTTTTAATACTTGGCTGTTTTTAAAATGTATAGATAAAATAGATTTAAAATTTTTTATTTTTTAAAAAAGTATTTTATTATATTGTTGTTTTTAATTTTATTTATAATTGGTTTTAATACATGAGGTCTTTGCCTTGAAAATGACCTTATGATATCATGTAATGTAAGGTCATTTTCAAGGCAAAAACCCACATTTCTTTAAAAATTGTATTTAGTACCATATTTTCATTAAATAACACACTGGGATGTGATTTCAAATTTTGGTCTAAATTAAGCTTAATTTGAACTATTGCTCTAAATAACATCCCAGACCGTTATTTTGCTAAAATACAGTATATGTACATTTCAAATTTTAATAATTTTTTATTTTAATATTAATATTTTAATATAAAAAAATTAGCAAAATATAATATATAAATTATAAAAAATAGAGTTAAAGTTAGAAATTTTTTTTAAAAAAAAATTTTTCTAACTTTAACCCTATTTTTTACTTAGTAAAAGGCTTGCAAAATGTAGTTTAATATATACATATATGTAAAATTATATGCTAAACAAACTTTACTTAATTACTCAAAGTAGGTTATCTAATAAAAAAAATAATATTTTATATTAATAAACTAAAAATTTTGACTTTAGTACATAGATAATCTACTTTTTTACAAGATACCTATTTCTATCATCTAAGTAAAGTTGTTTAAAGCATACTTTTATATATAATTTATATTTAAAATCAGTAATTATTTATTTTTGACAAAGTTATATTTTGTTCACTATTTCATATTATATATTTTTACAAAATTTAATTTTAAATTATTATATAGATAAAAAATATCACAACTGCAAAGTTTTAATAATTTTATATATATTTCTTTTTAAATATTAAGGTAAGTACTTAGACTCTTAATGCTTTATTAGTACTAAACATAATGTTTAGCACAAACTAAGCTATGTTATATTTGTATTGTAAAAATACAACCAGCTATATATACAACTTTTGATTATTTATTTAAATAATCTGCTTTAAGATTCTATACTAGTAGCTATATTTATAATCTACTAGAAAATTATCTATTTAAACTCTCTAACTCTATATTTGTATTATGATGCCTATATCTAACTTTTTTATTTTGGAACTTAATATTTTAATCTCTAGCACTGAATTCTTTTTTCAGAACCAAATAGGTACAATTATTTTTTGGTACTTTACCACATTCTGAAAATATAGAATTTCATTAATAACTCTTTAATTTCTGACTTAATTCTTGTATATTCTTGTTTAAATATAGACTACTTTAAATACAACTTCCTTCCATATATTACTAATTTTGTTATACTATATTGTTACAAATTCTCTATTTTCTTTTCTTTTAATATTCTTGAATTTATCACAATCAATTCAAGATAATCTAAATTTTTTATTATCTAGTATTCTTTTAACTTCTAGATAATATGATCTGGTAATTTATCTCTGCTCAAATTCTATAACAATTACTAATATTATTTATTATATCTGAATTTCCTAATTTAGCTGCTTTTATATAATATTTAAAAGCCTTCTTTTATCCTTTAACACCAATATCATGTTAATTGAAGTTGCAAAATATATAGTATTGTTTAAAGTCTATTGTTTAAAGCTTGTATTCACAAGTTACAAAGCTCTATAATACAAGTAATTTTATATAACCAATATTTCAATATATAAATTAGTCTTTCTTTGCAGCTTTTACTAACTATAAATAAATATATTAACAACTTAAGAATAGATTACTAATATCTTAATATGAAGATTAGTTTTGCTTTGTAGCCCTTACTAATCTTTGTAACCCTTACAAGCTATGAGCAGAATACCAACATTGCAATATAAAGATAATATAATATAACATATAACTTTGTTTTTTCTTTTTTCTATATACAATACTTATTTATATCTTAGTACTAGAGTATATACTTGCTAGTACTGTAAAACCCAGACAATTCCAAATTTAAAAAAAACAATTGCTATTTGTAAAAGATTAAATCAAAAAAAGTAGTCTTAATTCTTAATTTTTACTCTTTTTAATGATCACTTGTACCAAAAAATTTTCAAAAAAATAATTCTATTAAAAAACACAAGCATATATAGTAGTGTTATTATAAGTCAAAGAAAAACTATAAGATAGCAATTATTATTTAAAATATAGTTCTTATATACTACCTGCTAATAGTTTTAGAGTTTATTACTTACTATAGATATGTTGTCTGTTGTTTAAAAATAGTTCTTATATATTATTTGTTAACAAGTTTAGAGTTTATTACTTACTATAAAAACAAGTATTTGCATGCTTGCTCTAATAGAAATCTCAATAGAGGCTATAAATTGCTTTTACTTTTAGTAAAGAGAAATCCATACTCTTTAAAATAATACAAGTATTTTTTCTTCTTTCTGCTTCCTTACTGATTTTACAAAAATTTTTGCCAAAATGTGGGCAAAATAGCTCACTCTCTTCAAAAGATTAGCATTGTTTACACTTATCAAATTTAAATAAACTTAGTAGAATGCAACTATATATTTGTTTATATCAATATGATATTATATCACATGTCAAGGATTGGTGTTCTGGTTTAGAAATACCCAAAGTTTATTAAATATTCTAAAAAAAAATATTAATATTAAAGCAAAGCTTTACAATAGAAATATATTAAATGTTGCAATTAGTATATAATTTTTTATCTTTGCACAAGTTATAATAATGCATCTTCTGTATATATATGTTATGACTTCTTTTTTTTTGTTTTTCTATCTTCATTTTTTATATTTTTTTTCATTTAGTATATTTTTCTTCTTTTTTTTTTCTTTATATTTCTTTTTCTTATACAATTTCTATATATTTTTTTTAGTTTTTTTTTTGTTGTAAATAGATTATAGTTTAGTCTTTTTGCCAAGATTTAGATAAAAAAATTGAAAAAAAGATGATTATAACTAGCTAGTAGATTTTTGTTAATAAAT